TTTAATATCCTCCATTGCATAAACCTTATAGGTAAGTCTTGGGAGGGAGTGACTTCCAGGACTTTGAACTCTGCTTGGAGAAAACTGTGGCCAGAATGTGTAGAAGAGAGGGATTTTGAAGTGTTTGGGGCTGACTCTAAGGAGCCTATGCCAGTTGTGGAATCTATTGTGGCATTGGGATGCCCGGGGGGTTGGGAGGTAAATGGTGGGAGGGGAAAGAGTTGGTGGAGGCCCACAGGGAAGAGCTAACCACTGAAGAGTGTAAGAGCTTCATCTGCAACAGCAACAGCCCACTCGGAAACTGCTGCAGGGGGAGGAAGAAGAGGAGGGAAGAAGGTGTCTTTTTCAAAGTTAAAGGGAAATTTGTGAAAAGGGGAAATAAAGTGCAAACATTTAGGGGTTAACTTACCCTAACAAAGCTTTTTGCAGGCGTATTGGCAAAATGTTTTTTGACGTGTTGTACCCAAACTTCAGTCAAATCTTAAAGAAATCCCAGAAACAGAGCCTCTGGACAGATTTTTTGTGAAACGGGTTCAGTGACTCTAAAGTTGTTCCCGTGTTTTAAAAAAAACAAAGAAGGGAAGAAACCCCCAGAAGCTTTTATCCTGAAGTTCTAGGGAAGGGTTTCCCCTTTTCAAAACAAAGTGTACACCTTCCTCCTATCCCCTCCCCCGTTTTTCCATCCCCCAGAAGTCTTCAGTAAAGGAAAGTGTAAGTTATTTTATTTTTTACATGATGTATTTGATTTTCTCATTGTTTTGGTATGTAAATCTTTATTTAAATTTGAGAAAAAATATTTTATTTTAATATTTTTGGGTGTCGGGAAGGATAATTTTTTTTCCCTTATTTCTTAGGGGAAAATTTGGTTTTTTTCCCCTTCGGCAATTTTAACTTTCGGCGGCTCTTGGAAAGGGTTAAACGGAAACTCGGGGGTCCACTTTATTAGTCAAGGGCTAGGGGGGTTGTTGAGGGGTTTGGTCATTTAGAGAAATGGATAAAAAGTAGAATGACATGGGAGTGTGTAAATCTTGGGGGGAAGGGGGGGGGGGGTCCCCCAAAAGGGGGGAAAGGAAAAGGGGTTTTGGGGGGGGCGGGGGCTTAAACTCGAAGGGTGGTGACGTGTTTGGGGAATGAATGGTACAAGGAAATTTTTGGGTAAAGGGGTTTTTAGGGGAAGGGGGGAAATTTTTTTGGGGGTTGGGGCCTTTTTTTTTAAAGGGATTGGGGGTGGGAAATGGGAAATGGGGGGTTTTGGGGATTTTTTATTTAGGGATAGTTAGTTTTTTATCTGAATTTTTCCTGTTGTTTTGGGATTGAAAAAAAATATTTTTGGGGGGGGAAAGGGTTTGTGAAAGGGAAAAATTTTTTTTTGGGAAAAAAATTTGGGAGATCCAATTTTTTTGAAAAAAAAAAAAAAAATTCCAAACCTGGAAAAAAAACATTTGCAAAAAATTTTCCCCCAAAAAAACTAAAGAGTTTTCCGGATAAATGAGCCCATAAATACAAAATTAAAAATTAAAAACGTTTTTTACAGGCTTTTTTAAAAAAATTTCTACATTTAAAACAAACTTCAAACCTCAAACCACAATTCACCCTGAATGATTGGAAAAACCCCTTTCTTAAATTTTTAAATTTTTTCCCCCCTTTTTTTGGGAAATATCTGATCCATTCCGGGATGCAGGAATGAGGTCAAAAAGGTGAAGGGCACCTGCATAGCCAATTGTTCCTAGAATCTGGTTTTTATTACCACTAAAACTTGATCTCACAAGGTGAGAGATTCCCTTTTATGAGCAAAATACAGCTTTAAAGTTAGGGGAAAAGATTTTAATAAGCACAGCTAAAATCTTAATTTTCCTGCTCAAATGTTTAGCAAAATAATTCTGAAATATCTCACTCCCCTACAATCAAAAAAATTATTCTTACCCCGTGCTGGCCCCTGTGTAAAACTCTATGCACATAAAGGGCCCCAAAAAATTTTGGGAAATTTATTACCGAAAATATAAAGAACCCAGTCTGAAATCAAATTTAAGACCTTTTTCAAAAACACTTAATCACCCTAGACTAAATGCTCTACTCAATATTCCCAAACATAATTTCAATATTTTTTTTTGAACCTTTGTCCTTGCGAAGGAAAATAATTAATCATGTTTCAATAAAGCATTTTTGATATATGAATAAATCCTTCGTTTTATAAAATTAGTTCATTTATTAATAGAACATGTACAATTATGAAAATTCTTTGTGTTTAGTAGTCGTAAGCCAAAAAATTAAGTCAGCCCCCATAATGCCTAGGGACAAAGAGGGTTCTTTGCACTGCAACCCATTTTGAAAAACATAAACTCAATGTACTACTTGCAAATAAAAAATTTTATTTTTATTATCACACCGGCCCTTCCCCCCCAAAGGGGGGTGGCCCGAAAAAGAAAAACTTTCACCATCTTCACCCCTCCTGTCTTGCCAGAAGGGTGCTTTACACTACTTTTTTAAACTGCAACATTAACACCCCCCTTCAGAGTGCAGGCACTGTACTTCCCATCTCCAGGACTCAAGTCCGGCCTGCCGGTTTCCCTGAATCCCTTCATAAATGTTACTTTGCTCACACTCCAACAGCACGTCAATATTAAAAACCATTTGTCTCCATTCACTCCTATCAAACACGCTCAAGCATGCCTGCGGGAAAGTCCAAGCCCCTCGCACCAAAACCTCCTTTACCCCCCTCCCCCCAAACCCCTTCCTGGGGGCCGGACCCCTACCCCGCCTTCCTTCCACTACAGATGATACACCTTGAAGTCATTCGTTTCGCTCCATTCCTTACATGTCCGAACCACCAACAACCCTTCCTCAGCCCTCTGGACAACATTTTTGGAAATCCCGCACCTCCTCCTAACTTCCAAACTACGAATTCTCTGCTTTAAATTCACACCACACTTTGCCCTCAGACTGACATCTCCACTGCCTCCAGCCTTCTCCTCGCTGCAACATTCATAAACCCACGCTTCACACCCATATAAGAGCGTTGGTAAAACTATACTCTCATACATTCCCCTCTTTGCCTCCAAGGACAAAGTTCTTTGTCTCCACAGACTCCTAAGTGCACCACTCACTCTTTTTCCCTCATCAATTCTATGATTCACTCTAAATCTTTCATGCCCCAAACCGCTGACACGTCCACCCCCAAATATCTGAATACGTTCACCTCCTCCATACTCTCTCCCTCCAATCTGATATTCAATCTTTCATCACCTAATCTTTTTGTTTTCCTCATAACCTTACTCTTTCCTGTATTCACCTTTAATTTTCTTCTTTTGACACCCCTACCAAAAATTTATCCACCAATCTCTGCAAATTCTCTTCGGGGAAACTCCCAAGACACAGTGTCATCAGCAAAGAGCAGCTGTGACAACCCCCACTTTGTGTGTGATTCTTTTTTTTTAAACTCCACGCTCTTGCCAAGACCCTGCTTTATTTCCCTTAAAAACCCATCTATAAAAATTAAACAACCACGGTGACATCACCATCCTTTCAAAGGCCTTTTTTTACGGGGGAAAAATTTCCCTTTTTCCCACATACCTAACGAGCCTCACTTCCTCGTAAAAACCTTCACTGCTTTCGTAACCTACCCCTACACCAACATTGCACATCTGCCACATTGCCCCCCTATCCACCCTGTATCCCCTTTTTCCCAAACCCATAAATGCCACAAAGACCTCTTTACCTTATCTAAATATGTTCACTTATATGTTTCACTGTAAACACCGGGGTCCACACCCCCCTCCCTTTTCCAAAAGCCCCCTTGTTATTGTTTTCCTATTCTCCGCTTACTTTAATTCTTTAAATTTAAAACCAAACCTACACTTTACCGGGTAACTAACAGACTTACCCCCATAATTTTTGCACTCTTTTTTACCCCTTTGCCTTTATAAAAAGGGAATAGCATGCCTCTCCCAAATCCCTAGGCCCTTACCCTCTTCCATCAATTAAAAAATTTGGCCCAACCACTCCAAAACTATATCCCCACCGCTTTTAACATTTCTATCTTTATCCCTCAACCCGGTGCCTTCCCCCCTTTCATTTTCCTACTGCCTCACGAATTCCCCCCACACTCACAACGGGCTCTTCCTCACTTCAAAGGGTTATTCCTCCTTGCCCTTCCGAAATCACAGCTTCCTATCTTCATCAACATTTAACAATTTTCCCCAAAATATTCCTTCCACTTCCCCAATACCTCAACTCTCCATTTAAAATTTTATTTTTAATAAAATATTTTTTTATTTCTTAACTGTTAAAATTAAAAATTTTTTTTTTTTTAAAAAAATTTTTTTAAAAAAAATTTACCCACTTTAAAAAGCTTTTCTTTTTTAATTTGCTTCACCCCTTTTTCTTTTAACCTCTCTCTTTTTTCCATATACTCTTTTTCCCTCCCCTTGCACACTTTACTTTTTAAAAAAAATTTCTTGCTAACTTTTTTTCCCTTACTACCTTTTTTACATCATCATTCCCACGCTCCCCTTCCTCCTGCACCCTTTTCCCGTAACCCAAACTTCTGCTGAAACTTAACACTACATTTTTTTAAACTACCCCTCCCTTCGACCCCCTTGCCTAGCTCTCATTAGCCCATTATCCTCCAAAAGCTGTTTAAATCTTACCTAACTGCCTCCTCTTTTAGTTTAAAACCTTTACCTCTCTTTCCCGATGCTTCTATTTCCTTGTATCCCTCTACCTTTTACTCTCAGTGTACTCAATAGAAATAAATAAATTTGAATTTGATTGGAATTCAGGGAGTGCTAAACCCCTAGGGGTTTATAGTAGTGTGGGGGATGGGAAGCATTGTTTTATCCAAAGGGAAAGGGGATGGTAGGTCCAGTCCACACAAACTTTTTTAACATTACGACAAAAAACAAAAAAATTTTCAATATTTAATTTTTACCGGCACAAGTATTCTCCAAAGAGGGGTTTCCCCTTGCCCAGGTTGGAAAAGAGCTTTTCAAAAGGGGCTTCACCCAGAATTATCACACATATCCTGTAGTCTTTGAAAAAGCAGAAGATTCATCCCTTTGTTTGGGATAAAACTAAAAGTATTTAAATTTAAAGTAACTTCGAGGAAAGTTATAAATGACTTTTAAAGTGAAGAAAAAATCTAAATATTTTGCTCAAGTTATCAACTTTTCAGTAGCCCACAATGCACTAAATTTGTTTCACACAGTGTTCCAAGGAAAGCAAAAATATGTCTTTCCCCCTCTCAGTCCCTTTAAGCAAAATACTTATCCCAGCAAGGGCCTTGATCCATTCCCCAAAGGGCTGTTTAAGTTTCCCTGTGAGATAGAGGGTGTCCCAAAAACATCCCCGATTGCAAAACAGGTATAACATGTAATTTATTGAATAATCTTTTACAGTTTGTAACTTTTAGAGCGGATTTCATGCAGATTAACCCTTTTAGGGTTTCACCGTATATACGGCTTTTTGGCCAGGGGCCTTGACGTACTAGCCAAAATTCGCGCCTTCAAATTAGTAGAGAAAGCTGGAGGGCCACATATGAAAGAATGGGTCTATGTGGTCAGTGTGCGCAGTATAAAAAAAAATCCTGCAGCACACAGTGCGTAATGAGAAAAAAAAACTTCGACCGTGTTTTTGGATTAAAACAGCGACTTTGCACTGTATTTTTGTATGGTATTTATTATTGTATTATAGTTTTCCTTGTCTCATTTCATAGAATGAAAGACATATTACAGAAATTAAGATGATTTTGACTGGTTTTACAATGAAAAGTACCTTGAAATTGAGCTCAAAGTAGCAGAAATGTTAAATTTTTACCAAAGTTCAAAAGTAAACAAATCATGCTAAGAGTCCAATACACGTCAACTGGTGAGTCTAATATTCTTTCAAAAGTGCCCTGATATTATTTATACCATTTCTACACTAATGCAGTAGTCTGCGTAACAGTAAATCTTCTATTTTTTGTGAGAATAAAAATTTAAGAGGGGCATGGGGACATGACTAATGAACAGAGGAAATGTTATTTTAGTGCCAGGAATGTCTTTCTTGTTTATTCTGGACCCTATTTGGAAATTGGCATCTTTTGAAATTTGTGTGAAATTGGCAAAATTGCTGAATTCTGACCACTGTACTGGATAGTTGAAATCGGTAAAGGGGTGGTTTCTTGTACTCATTCGATAGAAAAAATGGAGCTCTGGCAAAATAGGTATGATTTTTGTCAACTAGTACACTGGAATTAGCTGAAAATAGAGCTCAAAGTGGGCAAAATCGCGGATGCGTAAACATCGTCGAGACCGCTAACTTCGCGAGAGCATAATTCCATAAATTTTCCATCAAATTTCATGCTTTTGGTGTCATTATGATCGGGAAAAGATTATCTTTTCATGAGAAAAAATTTCGAAGTGTGCACCAGTGTCCAAGAATTTTGAAAAAATAATTTTATTTTTTCTTATGAAATGGTTGAGAATCTTTTACTGAAGGTAATAAAACAAAAAGTATGAAATTTGATGGAAAACTGACGAAATTATGCTCTTGTGAATTTTGATGTGTCAGTGATGTTTACTCATCGGTGATTTTGCCGACTTCGACTCCCATTTTAGGCCAATTACATTATTCCAGTTGACCAAATTCTTAGCTACAGTATTTCACTAGTATTACTTCTATTTTATCAATTGAGCACAAGAAATCGCCAAGTCAATTGTTTCAACTACAAAATAAAGTGATTGGAAATTGGTAATTTGGCCAATTTAGTGCAAAGTTCAAAAGTGGACCCTCATTAATCTGTTCCAGAGAGCTTGCTGTTAGTCGAAATTGCAGTTGGTCAAATTAATTTTCCCCATAAGAAATAATGGAAATAGAATTAATCCGTTCCTGACACCCCAGTCTGAAAAACAATTTTTTTTTTAAATTTCCTGACACGAAAACGAATGGGACATGCAAAATAAACAATAATTAAATGCCACTTACCTTTATTGTGGAGTTGTTGATGAGTGATGTGCCAGCAGCAGGGGAGCTTCAGGATTGTCTATTGCTTGGAAGGAGAATCCCCTTCCATAAAGACTTCAGGTACTAAGTCCTTTGGTGGGGTTACCTCCCTTCTTGATTTTTTAATGCCACTAGGACCAGCTTGAGAGTCACTGGACCCCTGTCACACAAAATAACTGTCCAGACAGCTCTGTTTCTCATGAGCCCTTAGGATTTCCCTAAAATGGGACACAAGAGTGTCATTGTACATGTTGCCAATGCAACTTGCAACTTCTGTGACAGGATAAAATTCATCCATAAATGCTTGCACCTTTGTAAACATTGAACACATTTCCCTAATCCTTGACGAAGTCATCTTCCTCTGTCTCTCTTCATCCTGCTCTGAAGAACATTCCTGAGACGTGATCTGTTGCTGTTGCACCTGAATCTCTTGCAGGTCTGCAGTGGTTAGTTCTTCCTAGTCGTTCTGCATCAACTCTTCCACATCCTCATCACAAACCTCCAACCCCAAGGACTTCCCCAATGACACAACAGCTTCCACTACTGGCACAGCCTCCTGAGGGTTAGCCCCAAACCCTTCAAAATCCCTCTGTTCTACACATTCTGGCCACAGTTTCCTCCAAGCAGAGTTCAAGGTCCTCTTAGTCACTCCCTCCAAAGCCTTACCTATAAGGTTTACACAACTGAGGATATTGAAGTGATCTTTCCAAAACTCTCTTAGGGTCAATTGAGTGTCTGAGGTCACTTCAAAGCACTTTTGAAACACTGCTTTTGAGTAGTTTTTTGAAGTTTGAAATGACCTGCTGGTCCATGGGCTGGAGGAGAGGAGTTGTATTAGGAGGCAAAAACTTCACCTTAACGAAACCAAACTCCTCTGCAATTTCCTCTTGCAAGTCGTGAGGATGAGCAGGAGCATTGTCCATTACCAGGAGGCACTTGAGTGACAATTTCTTTTCCTGGAGGTATTTTGTCACAGTTCTAGGTAGTAGGTTGGTAGACAGCAACCGCCCAGGGAGGTACTACCGTCATGCCAAGTGAGTGTAAAACGAAAGCCTGTAATTGTTTTACATGATGGTAGGATTGCTGGTGTCCTTTTTTCTGTCTCATAAACATGCAAGATTTCAGGTACGTCTTGCTACTTCTACTTACACTTAGGTCACACTACACATACATGTACAAGCATATATATATATATACACATCCCTCTGGGTTTTCTTTTATTTTCTTTCTAGTTCTTGTTCTTGTTTATTTCCTCTTATCTCCATGGGGAAGTGGAACAGAATTCTTCCTCCGTAAGCCATGCGTGTTGTAAGAGGCGACTAAAATGCCGGGAGCAAGGGGCTAGTAACCCCTTCTCCCGTATAAATTACTAAATTTAAAAAAAGAAACTTTCGTTTTTCTTTTTGGGCCACCCTGCCTTGGTGGGATACAGCCGGTTTGTTGAAAAAAAAAAAATTTGTCACAGTGGAGGCAAACACACCATAAAACCAGTCTGATCTCCACAGCACACACAAATTACCCTTGATGATATTGTTTTTCTTGAACACTCTGGGAGTATCAGAGTGATACACCAATAAAGGCCTCGCTTTGCAATCACCACTAGCGTTACTACACAACATTAATGTCAGCTTGTCTTTCATAGGCTTATGTCCTGGGAGTGCCTTTTCCTCCTGAGTAATGTAGGTCCTGTTTGGCATTTTCTTCCAAAACAGGCCTGTTTTGTCACAATTAAACACTTGTTCAGGTTTTAAGTTTTCAGTCTCTATGTATTCATTAAGGTCCTTCACATATTTTTCAGCCGCATTTTTGTCTGAACTGGCTGCCTCGCCATGCCTTACCACACTGTGTATGCCACTATGAAGCTTAAATCTCTCAAACCAGCCTTTGTTGGCCTTAAATTCATCAGCAGCAGCACTATTTTGAGGCATTTTCTTAATGAGATCATCATGCAACTTCTTTGCCTTTTCATAAATTATAGACTGAGAAACACTATCACCATACAATTGTTTTTCATTTATCCATACCAATAACAGTCTCTCTACCTCTTCAATTATTTGCAGTCTCCATTTTGAAAACATACTTGAACCTTTCGCAACAACAGCTTCCTTGATTGCCTATCTGTTCGCCAAGATAGTACATGTACTGATGGTTGAATGTGATTTGTTGTATTGCCTTTCCAACTCAGCCATACGGACTCCACTCTCATATTTTTCAATTATCTCCTCCTTCATTTCCATCATAATTCTCACCCTTTTTACCACAGGCTTGGCACTAGAAACTTTCTTGTGGCCCATGATGGTTTAATTAGTGGTTACAAGCGCTAAAAACAGTGGAATAATCCAAAATATATGGGAGGCACACGTGGAAACCGACCACAACAGCTTGTAAACAATGGCACACTGAGTGGTGGAGTGGCTGGGCCGCCCACTCAGGCCACTAAGGCCGCACTCCGGGCACATGGACATGTTCCGGACGAACGTCGTTGGTAGAGTTTTTCGCCGTTGGTTAAGGCATTTCTTTTACAGCAAAAAGCGCTGTTAGATGAAATTGCCGTTACTTAATGCAGCCGTTGGTTGAGGGTCTAGAATAAACAAGGCATTCCTGGCATTAAACTAACATTTCCTCTGCTCATTAGTTACATTTTCATGCTTTGCAAATGAATTCCATTTTGATTTTTTATTCACATAATGAATTTTTATTCAAACCAAAAAACAGAAGATTTACTGTTATGCAATATTGTAATAATTGTATAAATAATATCATCACATTTGTGAACATACATTAGACCCATCAGCTGGCATGTATTAGACATGTGAGGTCATTTGTTTACTCTTGAACATCGACAAAAATTTAACATTTCTGCCACTTTGAGCTCAGTTTCAAGCCATTTCCAGTACTAAAACCAATCAAAATCATCTCTATTTCTGTAATATATTTTCCATTCTATCTAATAAGACCAAGAAATCACAAACACAGCTATAAAAAAACATACGAAAAAACACTGCAAGTCACTGTTTTAACTAATCGAAAATTACGATCCAAGTTTTTT